AGAATGTTGTAAGAGCTGTAAGAGCCCCCAATAAAAGAATTAAAAAAAAAAAAAAAAGAAATTTAGCAGGCCTGTAGAATGTGCAACGTATTGGGTACTTAACACAAAATAATTCTAAGTTAGTTGAGACTTCTGGTACTAGGTTTGAGATAAGTATTTTTGCAAACACGATTTGCATATTAATAGCAAATTGTACCCAGCATTACTCTCCTTAAAAATGTCTGTTTTAAGTCACTGTTTTATTTAATGGCTCTCAAAAGGAGTAGGATGTTAACTGTAATCTGTCACAATAGAAGCTCTATAAGATAAACAAAATAAAATAAAATATCACAGAGCACTTGCTTGAAAAGCATTATCAGATGATAATTACAAATTGTTTTGAATAATGAGGTGCTTCACTTTTTTCGCTTTTGGAAATCATTAAATAGAGAAACAGGACTACAACCCCATGTACAACAGGATCAATTTGAGAGCAGAAAGGTCTTGGAAAGTAAAAACTGCCATTAATGGAAATTCAAAAGGCTAGTATACAAAGGCCTGATTTTAGTATAATATCAACTCCATTTTTCCTGACTCAAAGGCATTCGTAATATTCATAATTTTATTTCAGATCTTTGTTTTTCTAAAATAGGAATAAAATGACCAGTAAACACCATGTGTTTTTTTCTGAGTAGAAACAAAAGGCTAGTCATATAAGATGTATGGGACTGAGGTATAGTCAGGGGAGTACCTGGTTTTGAACCCACCCATTGTGCCTTGGAAGAAAGACCTGGTGACCTGCTTCTGTAAGTTCACAGTCTGTGAAACCTTGTCAAATCCTGAAACATATGACATTCCCATGAATGGAAATCAACCTGACGGCAACCAGTATTAATTTTTTGTTTAGATACAAAGTTGATTTCTCATCCTTGGAGTTAGTCACATTTGGGCCGGATACATCTTTGTTGTGGGGCTGTCATGTACATTGTAGAATGTTGAGCATCGTTCATGGCCTCTATTGACTAGATGTCAGAAGTTACTACAATTCCCCTTCTCCACTTGCTACTTATAACATCTAAAATTATTTTTAAACACTCTCACATGTCGCCTGTAGGATCAAATGAAAATCATCCTTTGTTGAAAATCAGTGATTTAAAGTTTCCTGTCACTTAAAAAAAGCAAAAACCTTAAAACCATAAGCTAAAAGATATTTAAGTGAAAACTTTAATTTCATCACAATGCTGGCTACCAATATATTGTGTAAGGGAATGCCTGTTTAAAACCTGCAACTACTTTGACCAAACAGTAACTCCTAGCTTCACATGGCAAACATGTAGCTAGTATTATTGAGCAGTAGAATTTTTATTTCATTTAGATTTAACTAAATAGCATACAAATTGAGATGTGCTATACTTTCAAAATATTCACTTTTCAAAGATTTAATGTGAATTTAAAATGTAAACTATCTTATCAATAGTTTTACACTTATATATGCTAAAATAATATATTGAGTTAAATGAAACACACTATTAAAAACATGTCAATTGTTTCTGTTTTGTTTTTTCTTAACATGGTTCTTAGAAAATGTGAAGTTATCTATTTGGCTCCTTTTATAATTTTATTGGGCAGCAGATCTAAAGTGTCTAATCATCTGTCCAAATAGCTACTTGCTACATAATTGTATAACAACAAAAGTTATGATGAATTCAGTGAATCATCTGAATTTAACTAATTTAAAATTTTTATTAAAATTTATGCCTAACTAAATTACATCAGCATACAACAAGTATAATTTAGTGAAGATGAAGATTTTTATACTCCCTGAAATATGTGTGGCTCATGGTTTGAGAGAAATAGTCCAGAATTCATACTATAATTTGGGGCTAGAACGTAATACAAAAGGTGAAAGCTATTACTTCTTAAAACCATCTTTCAGGCAATTACATTTATGGTTAGATCGGAATGTATTCATCTTTCCCTCTGCCGAAGGAATACCACTGTCTTCGTTTCACCCAACTTCTCCCTTAAAAAACAATAGTAAGTAGCAAGCTCTTTCTACAGTTTCAGACATTACTTTTATAGCACAAGAATGACTCATCAATGATCAAGCTTAGTGCTATTTGCACTAACATAGTGTTAGACACTTCTAAAACTATATTAAAATTAAAAAAATAAACAAAACTTCAACTTGACACTATCAATTTATTCTACCTCTTTTATCAAATGGGATAAGTCAAATTTTACTGTGGCAGATAAAAAATCCTTGGAGTCCTAGCTCTATTTCTCCTTAATATTGTTAGCAGAAAAACACTACTAAGCATTTTGCATGAACAAGTAGTAATATGCTCAAAGGCAATAAATCAAGTATAAACAAGCAAACAAACAAACACAACTGATTGCCATCTCGTTGTTTCCAACTCACAGATCCCTATAGGACTGCTTCTGTGGATTTCAAACAGTAGAAAGCCTTGTCCTTTTCCCACAGAGCAACTGGTGGTTTAGAACTGCCAACCTTGTCATTACTGCACTAGTCATTACAACTTGCAACCATTATGCCACCAGGGCTCCTGTGAAATCACATTGGAATAAATAGGTTTTCACATTTTGTTTGTTTGTTTAAACATAAAAAGGTTTATAAACCCGAGTTTAAAATATTTGCAGAGAATAAAAATCTGTACAGATGCTTACTTAAGAATTTAAAAAGGAAGTTTCACTTTCAAATTATATCAACAGTATTGTGAATCTTTTTTGTGTGTGAATCTTATTAAATGTGTAAATATGAGGGTAATAAAGTATTGTACCTAGAGTTCCCATTCATATATGCATGAGCTTATTTCGAACAAAATGTGTTTACAACATGTTTCTTTAATCACTAGGTGGCTGCAGACAAGTTCTACTTGTCTTAATCTCCTTGGGGTACCTTCAAAAAAAAAAGATGCAGTCAACACAGTGGCTTCTGAGAGAATTTGCTGGTCAGTTAAATTCGGGAGAGTTAAATCCAAGGTATCTCACCAGGTTTTAGCAGTTTCATTTTGGGGGAACTCCAAAAGGGAAATCACTATAGAGTTTTCTCAAAGGACACAGAATGATCACAAGCGTTTATTTGTAAAAATCTGTTAGAAAATTGAAAATTTGATCAAAGGTAACAAAGGCTGTCGTACAATAATTTCATTAGGAAACCTTGTCCCATCCACTCTACAACCCTCTAGCCGTTTTAGACTTCTGTGTTCCCCAAAATTCAACATTTAAAAGGAACACATGACTTGAGTCCCTCACAGACATCCAAATTCCCATTTTTATGTGGGGTGAATCAAGGAACACAGAAGCATTTGGGGAAGTAATAGAGAGATTGAAACATCACCTTCAAAAGTGTATAGACCTAGGAAGAGGATGTGTTGAGAAATGATAATTTGACATTTTGTTAATTTTTTAAAGGTTTTTATGCTTTTGTAGCAATATTTTTGGACTTATATATATATATATATATATATATATATATCATGGTTATATAATCTAAAAATATGATGTCATCAGTTTCCCATTCTCATTCTGTTTGCTGACTTTGCAAGCAACACATATTTCTTGTTTTTCTTTAAGGTGTGTACTTTTACTGAACTGGTCAAGTCTGTGTACAGGTCTTTTTTTTTATAATTAGTTTTTTATCTTGATCCAGTGTTACGATGCAATGTTCAGGTTATTTGTATTTAATGTACTTATTACTGTGCTGTGTTTGAGTTCATCATATTGCTGTTTGTTATTATTTTTCTAATCTTTTTTATAAATCATTTTATTGGGGGTTCGTACAACTCTTATCACAATCCATACATCCATCCATTGTACGTCAAGCATATCTGTAAATTTGTTGCCCTCATCATTCTCAAAACATTTGCCTTCAACTTGAGGCCTTTTTTCTTTGAGGCCTTTTTAAGTTTAGATGAATGTCATACACATTTTTATATAAGTTATGAATTATGACTTAACTAAATTATAGATAGATTGTGTTTGTTTAAATTATTAAATTCCCTCTTAGAGAAGAAAAAGAGGAAGAAGAAATTTTAGAAGATGAGTGATCTGTAGGATCAGAGGAAGCGGAACCCTAGGCCATGCTGGGGACCTTGTTCAAATTAAGAGCTTTAGAGAATGTCTGATACAGAGGGAAAAAATTACTCATCTTCCGAATTTAACCCAAGAGTATAATTGCAAAAGAAAGAATATCGTCTATGAAAGGACCTGTGGTAGTTAGGGATTATGTCAACAGGATCTTCCTGGGTAGGGGTGGAGTCAAACTGTCAATGAAGATGTAGCCTGATGACACTTCCTTGAGGTCGTAAGCCTTTGGAGTAAGAGTGGGACACACTGGGAACTGTTCTTTTTCTCTGCCTGCTAGAGCCATGTGTCTGCCTTCAAGGGTGGCCCCATGTGGACCACCAGATTTAGAGTTGTTGGCACCTTGCCATGCTTTCACTGACTCTATAGCCATGCAACTCTGTATCCAGAGACTGTGGTTTTCCTGTTTTCCCGTCACCATTCTGTTTTACCAGCATGTGGCTAGGTGAGTCTAATGGACTTACAGACTTGAGTTGGACTGGGATTGGATGCCTATTTCTATATACTAACTTCTTGATATAAAGATCTTTCTTATACATAAATGAGTGCCAGTGAATTTGTTTCTCTAGACCTGACCTGACACAGGACCCCAATTTAAAATGTGTGAGTATAGAATTAAGGTTAAAGAATTCTGAAATAATTTCTATGACTTTCTGGAAAAGAGAGAATGAGGTAGAGTAGACATTAATCAATATTTAAGTTTAAATAGCAATTTTCTAAAAATTAAAAATATTTTTTCAACATCTAGGTGGCTCTTCTATTTGGATACATTTTCTTCCACAGAGTTATATTAAGCAGTGAAATAAATTATTTCGTACCTGGAAGGAGCTGTTGGATAAATAATTTTTATGTGTTGGAATGTTAAATCTTGTGCTAAAACTTGCTTGATCCACTTTCTCAGTCCTTGTCCACAGTCACCTGGTGAATTACAAATTCCAGATTAAGAAAAATATTTTGACAATACAGCACACTCTAAAAGCAGAAAAGTGCTTTGTGTCATACAGAATCTGGGCCAACAGGTAAAAAATATATATCATATAAAACCAACTGTACAAAATTAATTTATTAATATAAGTAACTAGACATTATTAGGCAGTAGTTAATTTTATTTATTTACCTCGTTTCACCAGTGCTCATTTTGAAAAACATGTTTAAGCTTGGATCTTAAGTTTCCTCATTTACATAATGGGTATAATAAATATAATAAATAAACTAAAATTAATAGTTATTTTTTTTCTTAAAAAACAAAACAAAAACCATCTGTCTTGAAAGAAGTACCGCTAAATCTGTCTTAGAAGTACAGCCACAATGCTCCTTAGGAAAAAGGATGGTGAGACTTTTTCTCACATCATTTATTTGCACGTGTTGTCAGAACAAACCGGTCCCTGAAGAAGGACATCATATTTGGTAAAGGGGCAGCTAAGGAGAAGGTCACCTTCAAGGAGATGGACTGACACCATGGCAGCCACATGGGCTCACTCACAGGGACAAGTGTGAGGATGGGGCAAGACTGGGAGGTGCTTCATTCTGCTGTCCCTAGTTCTCTATGAAAATGAGGGCTCCGAACCAAAACATCAAAAGAATCTTCTTCTTTAAAAGAGTCTATATAGGATTTGAAACATTGCCATTTCTTATCTTACTCTTAAAAATAATAAATCCCTAGAGTAACTTAAAGTTTGATTAACAAGCTAAGGGAGTTTCTAAAATAATTTACTTGGCTAAAACACTAACAGTATTTCAAAACAGGGATTCACAATAATTTTTAACTACCCCTCCCCCCCAAATCCTAATTTTATTTTGATAACAGGATTACATTTCCTAAAATAATGACTATATACGCCAAAGTTGCAAAATAAATATCTATAATTCATAAAGTAATGCTCTATATTTTCATAAAGGAAGGAAGGAAATCTAAGATCCGTTTAATGAGTGGAAGAAAAGTTAAAAGCAGAAACTTAAATGTTTTAATCAAGGAATTCCTAAAGACCATCAATCCAAAAAGTAGTTACCAAATAATGTGGGGGATGGGAGTAGGCAAGTTATAGAGAGAAAGAGACATTAACCAAATAGTCACAAAATAAATGTGATGGATAAATTCGGTCACTGCCAAATGACCCACGGTGTTGCAAGGGTTTTGTTGTTTTATTTTGTTTTTAGGAAATAGAATTTGGCAAAAACTAAACAAAACAAAAACAGTTATGAAGGGTTAGTGGTGAAAGAGAGGTTTCAAGGATGAGCACTACGTTTACAGCCAGAGCGACTAGGTGAACAAACGTACCAAACAAGGACACTGAGAGAGGAAGCACCCAGTCAACAGATTTGCACATGTGGGGCAGGGTGGGGAACAACCAGTCCCAGAGCCCTCTAAGGCCTTAGGTATCATCAATACCAGCTAACATGGCACAAGTCACGAAAAAGAAGCAGTTTCAGCCATCTGTTACAGGTTGTTTGACCAGAATGGCCCAAGAATGATGTTATATATATACAAATGGCCCTTGGCAGATAAAATGCTGCCCACCACCCCTAATGTAGAACATACAAGGGATGCTACCAGAGGGTGGGCAGAGCACAGCTAGTTGTGGTGCAGTGAACTACTTGATAGGGCTTTTTGCCCCCACCATATGGGAGTCTTTTCCACCTGCCACCGAATGACTAGATGGGTCATTACAATAAGGTAGATGGAAAGCTAATAAGATAGATCAGTTGGCCATTCTGCTGGGTTTGAAATGAGTGCTCACCAAAGGGGAAAGGGAGGATCTAACTACCATCAAGGAAGATGAGCTAGGAGTGGAATACAACTTTGGACCCCAAATCCCTGAACAATGAACAATCCTCCCTCTAGGAGACAGAGCTGAGACACCAGCGCCAGTCGCCGAAGAAACTGCAGCACCAAGAAAATGAGACACAGCAGGGAGCTTTCGTCCATGGAGTGAAAAAGCTAAATGTCTTCCGGCCGGAGGCTCCATTGTGAAGTGGGTTTCTTGCAAGTACTGAATAGTGTGAGCTGGGTTTGATGATCCACAGTGGAGTCAAGTGCCTTTGGATTGAGTCTTGTGATGGAATAGCGTGCCCTGTGGGCATTTATCAGTAGTGCTAAAGAAGTTTTGTGATGTTGGGCAAGCAGGGCAAAGGTCAAGGGTGCAGAAAGATCAAAGATCAGTGAGAGGCATACCTACAGGAATAGCTAAGAGGTGATTGGATACTGAGCATTTTGATCCTGAATTGTAACGTGATGTTGAATTCTCTTTCCCCCTTATGAAGTCAGGGGTCACATGCCATCCCCTCACCATTTTTACAGTTGGTGCTACCTGTAGGATTCAATGCAAAGGCTCCAGCTTCATGAAAACATGGAGGTATGCAATAGAAAGAATGAAGAGGCCTGAGAAGTGAAACTTTTGATGCTTCGATAATTACTTTGGTTTGTATTACCTATAATGCCTAAAAGGAAAAGGAGAGATGTTAGGCTACTGCTCAGGGGAGAAAAACAACTTCTGAAGTGGGCTGAGATAAAAGCATGGCTGGTTAAAGCTGCCTAATAGAGGCCAGGTCTGTCGGAACCATGTTGCCCGAAGCCCAAGGCCATACGCCTACGAATAAAGGACAGTCCAAAGATGAAGAGAAGATCAACTCAAGGGTTTTAAAAAGGGTCACGTGTTTCTGTACTAAAAGAATGCTTCTCTTAACGTAGTGTAAAATAGGCCAGTATATGTGACAGAAAAGAATTCTGGGTATTATAATTAGAGAACTGCAAACCCACTTCTAGCCTGTACTTGATTGGACATGCTGAAAAGGGAGTGAGAATTTTGCCAGAAGAAATAGGCCTTTTAAGTCTATGTAGAGTTTGGGGGCTGAAGTAGAAACCTAAGCTCGACCTAGAATGCCAGTCAGAAAATTTCCAATTGAAAGACATTCAAACGCTCCTAGAACTGCTGAGAAAACAGATTTGCTTTTTTCAGGAAAGATTTAAAAATAAAAAGACTTGATTTTTCAGTGTTGGGCAAGTAGTTAACCATTGGATATATCAAGGTTGGAAAAATTCTGTGCCTATTACAGAAAACTCCCTTGTAGAATGGAAAGCTAAAGCAAGCCAACAAGCAGACAACCTGGCATGCTCACTTGTGCTTACAACCTGGGTCCACTTAATGTGTGTAAGCGAGCAAGACACAGCAATAGGAGATAGGCTGAACTTGGACATGGTTCGTGGGCACCTGTTGTTACAATTTTACGGCTTGTTCTGGAGTGAACTGGACTTTGTGTCTGGGTACAGATGCTCTGAGTTCCATTTGGAATGGCAGATTCTTAAAATCAGGAACATGCTGATTTTGAGTATTGGGTTGATCGAGATGGACAATTCAGAAACTGGTTATCTAAAATGGGGGAAGATAAAAACAAACGGTTAATCCCCATGCTCACGCTTACAGTAAAATGATTTGAGAGGTGCACAAAGGGGAATCCCCACTAGATTTCTCTTTTCTTGATGGGTCTGGGGAAGAGTGGGAGAAGATGCTGAAAGAAATATGTGATTCAGTGGTATGATTAAAAAACTAATTGTAGAAGATGCAACTGAAATAGTGGGGGCTAATACACCATTTATTAAAGGGATGAGTACAATAGCCTGCAGGTGGCCTGTGGTACAGTGAATTAATAAGACTCTTCTAGGATAGTTTTTAAAACTCCCATCAAATGACTGGGTAGAAGCATGCAAATGATGTGCATAGAAATTGAACAAGAGGATTGATCAGCTTGTCATTCTGCTAAGTTTAAGATGAGCCAACCAGAGGTGGGAAAGGGGTTCACTACCATCAAGAAAGAAGATCCAGGAGTGGAGTATGATTATTTGGATCCTGAGATCCTGTAAACAGGAACTTTCTCGATCCAGGAGACAGATTGCTGTGACGCCAAGGAAGGTCTTTCTGCAGTGGCAGAGAAGTGGCTATAATAGCAGCAGAACTCAGAGCTGGGTTCCCAGCCCACAGAGTGAGAAAGCTGAGTGTCTTCAGGCATGAGGTTCACTTGTGGCCTGGGTTGCCTCCAGCACTTAAACAGAGGGCGCCAGGTTTGCTGGTCCTGGGAGCTAGAGCCCGGTGCTAGGGGGCTGAGGCTTATAGTAAAGTGGAGCACCCTTTAGCAGCACAAATGGCACTTTTTAACATTGCCTTTGCTGGGCAGAGGTACAGGGTCCGTAGAGCTGAGAGGCAGAGGACCAAAGAGACATCTAGGTGCCGGCAGGATGGGAAGGGGCGGATTCTGACCCAAGAACTATATCCAGAGCATATTTGATCCTGAATCGTACCATGTTAATGTGTCTATTAACCACACAATCATGAGTATTTTCTGTGCACTCTGTGTGGTTATCCTAAAGAAGTATTAAGCCCAGTGAAAAATCAGAGTGCCATGGGAAGGGTGGATGGTTTCAGAATGGATCAAAAGAAAGGTTGGAGGATGGAGGCATGTCTGACCTTCACCTCATAGCATCAGCTTTGGGTGGATGTCAAGTTCAATTCTCCCTTTCCCTTGTGAAGTCAAAGGTCAGATGCTGTCCCCCATACCATTCTTAAGCCAGCCAAAAGAAAAGTTCAACCACATGCCTTAGGGGCTATAAGCTAAGAATAGATTTTATTTTTTAAAAGGGTTCTTTGAAAAAAACGGAAAAAATGAGGGGAGGGGAAATGAAGGAAAAGTGGAGGGGCGTGAACGGAAGGGATGGGAAAATAAGTGAGGGAGGGAAAAGAAAACTACAGCAGAGAATGATTCACCAGGCTGCAGATTACTTCCTACCCCTCATGTAGTTTGACAACCCTTGTCCTGTCCTACCTGGCTCCCAGTACCCTCTACCACCCTGTCTCATTCTGCGGACACTAACCTTAAAGCCAGTCCATAACTCATCATGGAAAGTTAACTTAAGGCCTTTGTTTTGGCTTTCCTTTTGCCTAGAAGTGAATCTAATATGCACTTGATTCAATCACTGATACATTCTTACAGTTCATCTTCACAGTAAGGGTCACCACAACCACTTTACCTAAAATTGTAATCCCCCATCCATACCAAACGCTGCATTATATTAGGTCAATCTGCTGCACAGGACCTCTTTAGAGTACTGGAAAGCAAGGATGTTACTTTGAGGACTAAATCATGCTATTTTCCATTGCCTCACATGCATGCAAAAGCTGGACACTGAAGAAGGAAGACCAAAGAAGAACGGATGCATTTGAATTTTGGTGCTGGAGAAGAATATTGGAAGTACCAAAGACTGCTAAAAGGAAAAATCGATCGGTTTTGGAAGAAGTACAGCCAGAAAGCTCCTTAGAGACAAGGATGCCCAGAATTCCAGCTTACATACATTGGGCATATTGTCAGGAGACACCAGTCCCTGAAGGACATCATGCTCGGTAATGAGGAAGGGCAGCAAAAGAGAGGAAGGCTCTCAACAAAAAACAATGACACAGAGGCTGACTCAGTGGGCTCAGGGGGGGAGACGACTGTGAGGATGGCTCAGGACTGTGAAACATTCTGTTCTTTTGAGTCAGTAGCGACTCCATGGTACCACCACCAGCAACCACAAGAACACCATCAAACTGACCCTCTCAGTCATACTGCCCCTACAGAGCAGAGCAGAGGGGCTCCATGGGCTTCTGAGGCTGTACATTTTCATGGAATACAATTGCTCTCTCTTTCTCCCATGGAGTACTTGATGGGGTTGAACTGCCTAACTTTGGTTAGCACTTCTAATGCTTTACTCACTGTAGCACCAGCCCCCAGACAGCTGAATGTTTGCAAGCATCTCTTTCTTTAAGAGCATAGCTTTCATTTTGTTCATCATTATTTCTTCAGAGCATAGTAGAGTGTCTAGTGTACAGTGGCTACTTAGTAGTTATCTTGTAAAAGAATTAATAAATGAATGCCTATCAGGCAGTTGGGGAAACCTGTCTAGAACACAAAGATCTAAACTAAAGATACACACAGGTGTCTTCTTATGGGTTTAAACACAGCCTGTAAGCATCTATAGGGTTTAACCAAGGGAGAAAAAATATAGAGTATTAAGAGGGCTTAGGACCAAAGTTTGAAGAAATCCATCATTAATGGCCAGGTAGAGGATGATGAGGAGCACTGGTGGGCTCACTGCTAACCACAAGGACATGAGTTTAAAACCACCAGCTACTCCTCAGGAGAAAGATAGGGCTCTCTGCTCCCATAGAATTAGTCCTGGAAGCTCACTGGGGCAGCTCTACCCTGTCCTACAGGGTCACTATGAGTCGGCATCCACTCAATTCTGCGGCTTGAGAGAATGTGTGCACCCACGGGAGAAGGAACAAAGAGATGAGAAGGGAAGCAGGGCAGTATGAGGAAAATGGCGAGTCTTCTGAGAAGTCAAATGAGAAGACTGGAAAACGTCCATTACAGGAGTGACACAGAAATTGCTAGTGGCTTTAGCAATGGTTACCTCAGACAGCATGCTGAGACTAACCATATGCTAAGGAGTATACAAAACATAGCGCAGAACGCCATCAAAACATGCATGGTCTGGGCCTCCATGAACAGGATAGAGTAGGATACGAGCATTAAGTCATTACGAGTATGATTAACACTATAACCCATAGGACCCCAAGGAAGCATGTAACAGTCAAGTAATTTAACGTAGGAGGGTAAACAGGAGCCCCCTTGGTGTAGTGGTTTACCCATTGGGCAACTGATTACAAGGTTAGCAGTTCAAAACCACTAGCTGCTCCTTGGGAGAAAGATGAGGGTTTCTATTCCTGTAAAGAGTTATTGTCTCAGAAACCCATAGGAGCAGTTCTAAACTGCCCTGTAAGGTTGCCATGAATAGAACTGACTCAATGGCAGTGAGTTTGTTTTCTTTGAGCTAATAAAACAACAATGTATTATTTACCTCCTAAAAGTGTGTGTGTGTGTGTGTGTGTGTGTGTGTGTGTACTGTATTTTAGTGGCAGTCCAGGCTCAAATTAAGTTGGCTTAAGTTTATAATTCATGTCCACAAATAAAGTCTAACGTAAAATCACTAACATCAAACCTGAGTGATAAAGCCCAACTTCCAAGAGTACAGATTTCCAAATTTATTTGCTGACTGCTTCCTTTTCAGGAAGAGAAAAAGCTTTATCCCACCTCACCCTCAGCATCCAGCAATGAAAACCTTTGCACTACAGCCCATAACTCAGGAAGAAGTTTAGGTATCTGCTTTTGCAGCTCTCCTTGGATTGTTCCAGTGCCTCTAGTGGGGTGGCACTGCCCACTTTGGGAAACACAGCAATAGAATACTGAATATTTTAACAGAGATTAAATAGGAAAAGCATTATACCTAAATACTTGGCAAAATTCTTTAAATTCTTCCTTCAAAGTACAAGTGGAATTATGTGTACCTGCACAAGCGTGCACACATGCACATACATACATACATTCACACACTATATAAATATGGGCTTCAAAGACACACAATTACAAGTTTTCAAAAGTCAAGAATTTGTTTCACATGGAAAACAGAGATAGTTACTTTCAGCAGTGACAGTTTTGTAAAAAGTAAAAATCTAAGAATTCTTTCAAAAGATACTATAAATTCATGCTTTTATGAGGAAACAAACCAGGAGCTCTTGAGTTGGATCTGATTCACATTACCCATGTTTCAGATAGAACTTTAATCTGTGATTTCAATGGCTTTGACCTGTAGGAACATGATTGCCAAGCCTTTCTTTGGAGGCTCCTCTGGGTGAATTCAAACCACCAAACTTTCCAACTGTAGCCAAATGTTGAACTGTGCCTCCCAGGGGGAAGGAGAATGGTATTTGGGAACTTCTAGGGGCTGATAAATTTAAAATCTAGAAAGTTTGAAAACTGAATAGTACTATATAGGCTCATGGTTGTATGTAAACCCACCCTTCATATTGGACTGCCCACCTTCTAAACATATTTCCCCCAAGTCCTGCTTTTTATCTGTTTATCCTTCTTTCCTAGTAAGTTCTAGTTCATTCAGGCTTTTTTCATGTAATCCCTCTGGGGCAGCTAAACCTGGGTTCAAATCCCAATTCTACTATCACTCACATTCACCACCAAGATCTTGGGCGACCCAGTCAGTTCATGTGCACTGCCCTTGCACTGCGAGTGGAATAACACACCTCAGAATGGCCTCTTTCCAGGTGTCTTTCCAATCGTCTTGAAGCCTACACAGCCCTCAATTCAGACCACGTTCCCCACAAACCGAGAAGCCCCTCATCTTCCAAATGCCCTAATCAACCCTAACCTCAGATTTTTATTTTTACAATTCATTTGGCAGTAATTTATGTACCATCTTGTGATCTCCCATCCACTGCTGACTCAAGCTACTAATTGACTTGTTTTTGTTTTCAACTTTAGGTAGGCCCTCTGAGGACACTGGCTGCATCCCATTCCTCCACCACACATTTCTCAAGAACTGTCCCTGAAATAAGAACTAGGGATGAAGAGATTAGGAGCTCCAGGCCACAGGAGGGGTGGGGGTGGGGGTGGGGGATGGGGTCAGATACACCTATTGGAGGAAAAATGTCTATTGGAATTAAGTGCACATGAAGACAGCCAGGCAGTGGAAGCACAACTTGCCGCTGTGAAATGTCATGTGCGTGCGGGACTACTGGTGCAGAGGTTGGCGGTTTGAACCTACCCAGTCACTTAGAAGGCCTGCTGCTCTGCTTCCGAAAACCCCATGGAGCAGTTCTGCTGGGCCTACCTGGGGTCTCCATGAGGCGAAATCAACTAACTCCAAGGCAACCACAAGAACTTGAAGGCTTAATCACAAAGGGGCCAGGAGGCCGGGAAACAAGAAGAAAGGGACCAGACTCTCACTCCAGCCCTGAAGCAGTGCTTCTGAAAAAACGGAGACGTTTCTGTGTCTTTCAATGGCCTACATTAGTCAAGGCTTCCGGAGCAAAAAAAAACAACAATGGCAAATACCAGGAAACAAAGAAACCACTCACTAGTAACTGAGGCTGCAAAGCACTGGATGATTTATTTGCTTCTAGCTGACTTACCTTACTAGCATGCCCTGTTTAAATGTAGGGGAGACAGAAGGGGGTGGTAAAGGTTGCATGGCGGAGAGAGCGGGCAGGGCAGGGGCCTGAAGCCAACACGGATAGAGGCCCGGTGGCAGGAACACAGAAAGGACAAGGAGGCGGCTGGGGAAGAACCCCAGCTCCTGTGTGCCAGGCCACAGGGCTGGAGGGGACTAAGAGCCTCTTCCCCGGGGCAGCCTGCAGGGATGGGAAGGACTGCATTTCCCCAGCCGCAGGAAACCAGGACGTAAACCTGCCATCCACCTGAACCGTGCAGGAAGATCAGAGAGGCGCTGTGCCTCCCAGTCGGCAGCACCATATTCCTCTGCAAGCGAAGCGAACCGGACGCCATCACTGCTGCCACCTCCGGGTTTCACAGGTTCCGCTTCTCCGCCGCCGGCTCGCGGACCTGCGCACGCAGCACGCCGAAGCCGCGCGGGAGCGCGCTTGGGAGCGCGCATGCGTGGCCCTGCCAGCGCAGTCTGGCTCAAGCCGCCTTAAGTAACTTGGGTTTAAATCTTGGTTGTCATTTTACTAAGGCTTTGTTTTTACTGAAACCCAACAGGTATAACTCTCGTAGTTAATATGTCTATATTCCAGACATTTATTGTGGGATTTTAAACTGTAATAATAAAATCCGAGATTACCTATTTAGTGTTAATATCATTATTTTTACATTCCGAATTGAGACTTTTTCAGGATATTTGTAACTTTTTATATTGACACTAAGCCATATAAGAACAATTTTTCTTTGTGTCTTCTTTTAAAAAAAAAAGGTTTGCAAAGCCAATCAAATTTTTATATTAATCCTGTTTGGTACAATTATCCATATTTTGACATTGTTTTAAAAGTGGCACAGTGGAGTTCTAATCCAGACCTTCTGACTGCAGACTATGAACTTTTCCATGAGGTCACAGACAACCCGTGACCACAAGTATGCTTTAGCCACAGCCAGATCCTTGACAATGAACATCTCTAATCTGTATCTATTCACCAATAACCAAGAGTAACTGAATGGAAAAGGTGGAGTCTTGTAACTATTATTTGAACTTTTCAATTTGGAAGTGGATTATAAATGGAATTACTTTGTATATAAAGGCCTAACCATAAACAACTTTCAGTACTGAGAATTGTAGTCCTAGCAAGTAACTCTTTCCTCAAGTAAAATTCAACCACACAGTTCATGAAAACATAACATGCCATTAAACACCTGCTTTCCATTCAGTGTAGTCTGTATTATATTTAAGCAATTAGGAATGATTTTTTATTTGTTGAGCGTGATCACCTTACTTTCTAGATAACTGCTTCTATCAGTGGATCAGTTGCCAAGACAAGCTTGATACTGCTGTACCAACATTGCCCATGGGCATGGGCCTACAGGCATTAATCATTCAATCATAAGTAATATTAACTCTGAATCATTTCTCTAAATGTGTCCTTTCTCCTGGCTGAGAGTGCTGAGTGAGGCCAGCAAAGACAATGAGCTACGTGATAACCAACTCAAACAACAGACTCTGCCTCTAGGCCCTCCAGCCCCGCCTGGGTTTACTCTCAAAGGTCAGGGGAGAAGAGAATGCTACCTACCAAGAGGCCCCTAGATATATGCTAGGTAAGGCTTTGAGATCTACTCTTAAAGTTCCACCGACTGCCAAAATATCTTGCTGTGCACTATGCCATTCTTTGGAGATAGCAATAATATCAGAAAGATACTGATTTAATAAAGTGATCATTATTGTTTCTAGATTCCTGCATTGTCATGATCATTTCTGATAAAACTCTGCTCTATTTCTTTCTGCTATTGTGATATGAATTTACTGTTATTTCTATCAATGAAACTCAGAGAGAGTCTAGTTTAGTCATACTAAAAGTTATTTGTGCATTAAAATGTAGGTAAATGAAAGTCCAAAAAATTAGGAATTGAAAAAAATCTATGATTTGGACTTTAGCCCTTTAAACAAGCAAACAATACCAACAAAACCCAAATCAACTTAAACCTATTACATCAAGTAGATTCCACTCATGGTCACCTCATGTGCTCTCACTCTACTCACTGCCATTGATTCTGGTTCCAAGCCATATTGGCCCTATAGGAGAGGGTAGAACTAATCCCCTGGGGGGCGGAGGAGGTTATTCTGAGACTAATTCTTACAGGAGTAGAAAGCCTCAACTTTCTTCAGCAGAGCAGTTGGTGGTTTTGTACTGCTGACCTTATGGTAAGCAGCCCAACGCATAACCCACTATGCCACCAGGGCACCCACCCCAAGTGCTACAAAGTAGATTTGCGCTATAGGGTTTTCTTGGCTGTAATCTTTAAGGTAGCAGATCAGCATCTCTCTTTCACAGTACTACTCAATGGGGGGTGAACCACCAATCTTTAGGTTAATAGCCACACACAAACCTTTTGCACCACCCAGGAAGCTGGTAGCCTTTAGGCATCTGCTTTTACCAGAAGTCCTTCTGCTTCTGTCTCCGATAGTGTGAAGTCCTGGATTGCTCTCCCAACTGTACCAAAAGCAGCCTAAGTATGCAGGTAGTCAGAGGAGATATCAGAAGGTTGGCACTTTGAGTTTCATCTGGGTTGAGTCTTCACAGAACAAGGTCATTATTAGATTGTGCAGGATTCTTCCAAGCCTAATCAAAGTGCTCCTTTATTTCCAATGATTTTGGAGTTTAACAATTGTTTCCATTCCTTTGTTCTTTACTTATTTATAGAAAAAATATAAGTTTTAAGATTACTATATTTAGCAATGCCATCTGGCAGACAAACTATTGAATAGAAATGTTTTGTTCCTTTCATGTAACTACATTACTTTGAAATGCAATTAAGTTTCAAGGTGGCTTCTTGCTTCTTTCTTAGGGAATCTTTTGCCATATTGAATTTGAGGGAAAACGTTTCCCTGGAAGATTTCAATATATATATTCTTTTAATTTTCATTACTCTCTGTCTCTCTGTCTTTCTTCACCCTGTCTTAAACACATCACATTTTTGGAGGGGCCAGGGGGTGGGGTGGTGGTGTTCCAGTATCTATTAGGATCTAAAGATATAAATAGCAAGTTTAGAGTTTAGTTTTGATCTCTACTGTGCATTTGAAAATCATTTAGGGTCCATTTTTTTTGGCTTTCCAAACACTCTTGAACAAAGTATATAAATATATTTATAGTAATGTATTTGGAATTTTTAAGTGATAAGAGTTAAATGATATAGCCTCTCTTCTGCAAACCATGCAGTTCTGTAATTCCTTGTTTCAATTTGCATCCTCTCCTAGTGGTTGGTTTTTATCTGTTGCATTATTCAAAAAATAGAGAAACATATATTCATACAGAATACACATACATTGGACAAAGCATTTCTGTTTTAGAGGATTTTACATTTCAAATATTAACAAAAGAAGTTCCTTTATAAATTTTTTTCTATTCATTTAGAAACAAAATAAAGAAAACCAGAAAAAAACCTTGATGTGTATAAAACATTAAAAGTAAACTTTTTAAGGGTAACATAAATTTAATATAGCTGTGATCTCCATTTTAAGGCCTTAAACATTTTCCCCTTCAATCCTTCCAAATACAGATGTGAGGCTTACTTCTATCCTACCTCACTACTCCCTAGCAGATGCTCATGCTCCCATCCTGTTTTCTAGGGTGCTGGTTCACTTGATCATTTTGTGTTGGTCTGAGGCTTGAATTGTGGAGTGAGAAGTAGAAACACATGATTTACTCAAACATACCAAACAAAGTCTCAGAGCATCTGCAATAATCACTTCTGGACACTATCAACAGTTGAAGTGATGCTTGTACAGTCTCTGGGCCAGTAAGGTGAGAGCTTTTCCATTGAAAGTGGGCTGTATGGAAGCATATGTGATAGGTTTATTGTGCCAACCTGGCCTATCGGAACAAGTGGGATTAATCAGGTTGCAGTTTGATTGGAGGTCAAAGAGATAAATGGCTCTGCAAGGCCCGCCCCCTCTCTCTTTGTCTCTGGTGATTAGAGTGTGCTGGAGAGTGCACGTGGCTACTGTAACATGTTCTCTGCCTCAACTTGGGAGCTACAATACCTGTGGGCTAGGACAATCTGTGGATTGCATCGAGAGAGCTTGAGACTTCTTTGAGACCTGCTTCATTGCACTGCTGGTTCAAAAATTACTTAAGCTTGAGGCTGATGGATTCCTTTGCTTTGCATTGCTTGTGTTGGATATCCCATCCAGGGCTGCTTCACTAAGCTCCCTAGCTACTGAGTGTTGTTGACCCACCCTGCTGCTTGCTGCCTGTGGGCAGATTCTGCTTGTCTTGACCCAGGGACGACTCTACTATTTGCTTCCTTGACCTTGGACCCAGTAGCCCACTTAAGTTGAAGGATGTCCAGTATATTAACTGTTCCATGGAAGTGAGTTGAAATGGACCTTCTGTACTGCTGTGTGGATTGATTAGCTGTTATATTCCTTCTTTCTGTATAAACCTATCCTCATATATATAAATATATACAATCATAAGTGTCCTGGTTTTTTTCTCTAATGAACCCTGCCTAACAAAATTGGTGCTGGGACTGGTTCCAGAGGGAAAAAATACCTTAAATATGGGTTTCTCAAATTGGTTCTCCAGCCTGATTAGGCCTGATAGCACTGAGAATGCTGCCTCTACCCCTAAAGGCATGGATAAGTCCTCCACTATTACTAGAGAGGGTGGAGTTAATCCATGGTGTGAAGTCACAAAGCTAATACCCACAATATCACCACCTATAGATGAAGTGCTGGTGAGAGGAGAGGCTCTGAGTGATCGTGTGTTTGATATTTTCCAGCAGTTTTAACAAAATGAGAAATTTAGGAAAGCTGGTTAGCTGCTCTTCCTTACAATAGAAAATGTGATCAAGGAAGGGATGAGCTCATAACCTCAGAAGCACGTCTCAAGTGCCGAATAACAGAACTAAAAGCTTCTGCATGTGCTGCAAAGGAGAGTCTTCTCTCCTCTAGTAATAGAGCTGACATTGCCGAAAGCCAAATCCAGAGTCTCATCATAAGAGTAGCTGAATTATAGCATCAGCTGAATTATAGGTCTAGAACAGTGTCTGATAAGGTCATTAGTCATAAAAAAATGGGACCCTAAAACATGGGATGGGAAGTTATAGGCAGATGATCCAGGAAAGGAGGATATTGAGCCCCTAGACTTGATTGAGCCATTCAAGTCAATAGATCCACCCCTACCATCTGATGGGATTAATCCACTATCAGTAAAACAACTCACACTTGGGTAGATTAACCAAACTTTTCAAACTGAAATGCCAGGTAGGGCTTCATTTGGACCATTGACTGGTGGATATGCTTTATAAGATATTGCTGAGAGCCTACAGGAAACACCCCCATCACCATTATTTCCTCTA